TGGTATCTACCGCATCACCCAGTGTTTCATCCGCAAAACTTGACAAATTGAGAGTAGTCTTCGACTGCTCGTCGAAATACCGTGTGTATCGCTTAACGAGGCTTTGTACCAGGGCCCAGACTTCACAAACTCGCTAACTGGTACTTACCCGCTTCCGGGAAGGCCCATCGCCTTCCAGGCTGATATTGAAAGCATGTTCCACCAGTCACGTGCCGATGGACGACCGCGATGCCATGCGATTCCTCTGGTGGCCTGGTGGCGACATATCTAAGCAGGCGATTGACTACCGCATGAATGTACACATATTCGGCGCTATCTCTCACCCAGTGTTCGTAACTACGGTGCGCCGAACCGCGACAGATAATGAGGGAAAATTCCGTCAAGAAGCCATCGACACCGTGAGAAAGAACTTCTACGTCGATGACTGCCTAAAGTCCGTGCTTACGAAGTCGATGCCATTCTACTGATAGAGGATGTACACGAGCTCTTGTCGAAAGGCGGATTTCGTTTGACAAAGTTTGCGTCAAACTCACGTGATGTTCTGCTTCAATCCCGCCGATGAACGAGCAGTCAGCTTACGAGAGCTTGTCGCCAAGGACTTGCCCAGTGAACGTGCCCCTTGGTTGCTGGGTGGGACATGGAGCAAGACGTGTTCAGATACAAGACTAATTGTAAAGCAGAAGCCGTTAACGCGCCGTGGCATACTGTCCGTCGTAAGCTCGATTTACGATCCCCTGGGCTCGTCGCTCCATACCTGTTACCAGCGAAATTCGTCAGCCAGGACCTATGCAGACTCGGCCTGGGTTGGGACGACGATATTCCGGACGCGTATGCGGTTCGCTGGATCAAGTGGTTGAAGGATTTGCCACAGTTGGAGTCGATGTCCATACCGCGATGTGTACAGCCGGCAGATTTCGGCCGTGTTACGTCGAAACAGCTACATCATTTCGCCGACGCTTCAGAAAGGGGATACGGCGCCGTATCTACCTAGCCCTCGTCAACGAAGACAACGACATTCAAACACGCCCTAATGATGTCGAAGTCTAGACTTGCCCTTTGAAGACTACAACAATCCACGTCTAGAACTGTCTGCAGCAACAGTCGCCGTTCAACTAGACGTGACACTACGAGATGAACTTGAACTAACGATTGATGGTTCTACCTTCTGGACGGACAGCACAACTTCTGAAGTACATAAACAATGAAGAAAGTCGTTTCAAAACGTTCGGGCGAATAGACTGTCTCTGATCCACGAGAAGACACAGCCTGACCAGTGGCGGTATGTTCCCGAGTTCTTAATCCTGGTGACGACGCTTCTCGACTAACATATCAACATTTCCGAACGATTCGAGGTGGTCAACCGGACCCGAATTTCTACGAAAGGACGAAAGCCACTGGCCGGCTCAGGAATCGTTGAATAATGTCGGCAATACGCACTCTAGCGAGAGTGACCCAGAAATTAAGAAATCTGCGTTCGCTCAATCCGTTACGGAAACCGGTCCAGAGTACAATGCTATAGTTACTGCAGTCGAAAGATGTTCATCATGGCAGAAGGCCAAGATGGTCATCGCACGGGTGAAACGATTCATCGCGTGCTTGAAATCAGCATTGAGAAGCGGAAGAACGACGGCAATCACACCGTTCCGTCTAAAGTCTGAGTACATTTCAGTCTCCGAAATGCGAGAAGCCGAAGTTCTCATCCTGCATCTTGCAGCGTGCACATTTCCCAAGGGAAATGAATTCCTTGGAGAGGAAAACAGTAAAACGAGGTTACGTCCACAAATCTAGCGTCATCCGGAAGCTCGATCCAGTGATGGATAATGGTCTTCTGAAAGTCGGTGGAAGACTGAAGCACTCAAACTTACCTGACAGCGCGAAGAATCCGATTATTCTTCCACATCGCGGACACCTCACCGATATCATAGTCCGTCACTACCATCGTTATCATGCAGGCCATTCTGGACGCGACCATGTCCTTAGTTTGATACGCGCAAAGTTTTGGGTTGTCATGTAAATCCGCCGTCCGTAGTCTTACGGAAATGTGTCGATTGTAAACGTCGTAATGCTAGTGTCGGAAAGCAGAAAATGCGATTGCGCGACGGCAGACCGGTGACGCCTGGCAAACCCCCATTCACGAGTGTCGGTGTCGATTTGTTCGGTCCGTTTATGGTGAAGTGTAGGCGTAGCGAGTTAAAGCGATATGGTTGCATATTCACGTGCTTGGCTAGCCGATGCATTCACATCGAGGTTACCCATACGATGGGTACTCCATCCTTCATCGATGCGCTAAGGCGTTTCACTTCCCGTCGAGGTGACCCTGATCTGATTCGTTGCGATAATGGCAGCAATTTCGTCGGCGCCGAGCGTGAACTTCGTGAAGCAATACTGGCTTGGAACCAGAGTGACATCGAAGCGTTCCTGCTACAGCGAGAGACAGAGTGGAAGTTCAATCCACCCTCCGGCTCCCACTTTGGTGGAGTGTGGGAGAGGTGTATTCGTACAATTCGAAAGGTCCTGAACTCATTGTTAAAGCAACAAGTTCTCACTGATGAGAGCCTGTTAACCCTAATGTGTGAGGTAGAGAGCATAGTCAATAGCAGACCTCTCACCTCTCTGTCCGATGATGTTGGTGACCTCGACCCTCACCCCAAACCAATGCTATTGTTGCGCTCTGGGGGTACCCTACCACCAGGTCTATTTCATAAAACTGACATGTATGTAACACAGCGCTGGCGACAGGTCCAATATCTGGCCGATGTTTTTTGGCGTAGATGGATAACAGAGTACTGCCTTTGCTGCAAGAAAGGCAGAAATGGCTTGTGCCAACTCGAAACCTGGCTATCGGCGATATTGTACTTGTCGCCGACAACAACGTCCCTAGATGTTCATGGCCATTGGGCAGAGTTCTTGACGTATTCCCTGGAAATGACGGCCGCGTGAGGTCTGTCTCAGTCAAGACCAACTCTGTGAACCCGCTTACCAGACCAGTTGATAAGCTTGTTCTGTTAGAACTCGATGATTAGCTTAGTACAGTTGATGTGCCTAGTATAGTAGATCTAGGATATGTAAATATGTTCTTGCCAGTATGTATAGTTAGTATACATAAAGTTGGTGGTGTAGGTGAACCTTAAAGCTCCAGACAACCATTTGGTATTAAAGGGTCATTACCATTTTAATATTAAAGGGTTATTCCATTCGTAGATTAAAGGGTAAAACCACCTACGTTATGTTTGTTTCATGTCTATTATAACATGTTTAGTAGTTCTTAAGCTCTGGGAGATCTTAAGGAGGAGGGTATGTAGTGTCCGTTGGCACTATTTTGCGTTAATCGCGGATTTATACACTCGTGCGGGAATTTACCAGGAAAGAGATTGAAACGGAAGTCACGGTTGGATGGTTTTATCCGGTGAATTGCAGCCGTAAATCCCTGCTCATACTGCAACATTTACCTGTTTATGTAACAGAAATAGAGGTCATACGTGTTTTGTGAGTATTAAGACATTATAAAGCAAGAATGCCACCTTTGTAAACCATTGATGTTGTCAGATGAAGACCGATTTTGTTCAGAGAAATTCTCTAGAAAATTAATGTCACTGTATTTTGACCTAGCTATGTAGTATCATGTAATTCGTACAATGTACATTAAGTCTCCATATGTTATGTTGATTCATTTATAGTGTAACTGTCTATTGACCGTTTAAAGGGTTTCTTTTGTTTTAGAAACCTGATCACCCCGATCTGCTGAACCTGATCACCCCGATCTGCTGAATCTGATCACTGTTGATCACTGCTGATCATCCCGACCGGATATCTGATCACACTGTACTGTACTGATGTTCTGCTGATAGGCTACCGTTAGTCTAGTAAACATTAAAAGCACGATCAGCGTAAAACACTACCTATGTCTCTGTCTGACTGTTTGACTGCAATGAACTGGAGCAGGGTTTACAGTGTAGCCATTCGCTCCCACTACAGGGCTAAATGAACAACAGTGCTGGGAACTAGCAGCAAATCTTTTCAGCATGGGCGGCTAACTTGTGGCACCTACTAATGCCTCTGCTATTTAAATCAGACATGGCAGCCCATTTTTGTTTTTAGTTCCCTTGCATTCAATAAATGACCCAATTTGGCCAAATTATGGTCAGATGAGTTTGATTTGATTAGCAGGACAAACTCAAGATGTTAATCTTGCTTGCTAGTGTATTTTTCTATTGTATAATAAATGGGCTACAGCTTAGCGTAAATTGCTGCAATGATCCACTACTGTTGCCCAGCACTGTTGTTCGTATCTATAGCCCTGTAGCAGGAGTGAAGGACTATGTGGGTAGGACTAGACCGAACTAGACCGAACCACCTAACCCAACGTGTTCCTATCATATCATCATGTACAGTCCCTACACGCACAATATCATTGATGCAATATTATTGACAAGAAATTCTGTTGGTCACCAACTGAACGGCACAATAATATTGTGAAATATCGTCATTTGTGCTCTGATGCTGAAGGTGAACAGACATGTATCTGCAGGGGTAGAAATTAACTTTTGACCAAGGGAGTCCAACAGATTACCTGCCCTCAAAAAGAGAGAGTCCGCAGCAAAATACGGGAGTCCGCCACTGAACTTGAAGTTCAAAACTAAAGATATTATTAAAAAATATTATTAACAATAACGCATGTGCTTATTTTGAAGATTCATACAGTTCCACATCTGCCAAATTGTCTTTGAACATTTACTGAAAAAATACGGTAATTCCGTGAGGTCGTGCTCTGGAACAAACTAGTAAAAGTAGAAAAGTAGTACTAGTACTAGCAGGAGTAAGATAATATAGGATATCCTAATATATCCTATATTATCTTACTCCTGGTACTAGTAGTAGGGCCTAAAGTAGAAGTAGAAAAAATATGGCCGTGCAGAACGCGTCTACGAAAACTGTGCATTACACCGTAATACACGTAGGCAATTACGTACATGAAATCCATAATAACGAAATAGATTTACCTTTGCAGCGCCAAATGCTGCCTTATTAGCTACCAGCCGGAGAACAACCATTCTGATACTTTTCTTCAGTGACCTTTGATACGAAACTAACAGGTCTTCAAACTCTCTCGCGACCGTGACAGACAGACAAAATGTGGCGATGATGCCGGTGCTGGTTGTGGTAGAATCCGGATAGTAGCTTGAACCAGAGCGAACGCAGATATCTTTATTATTAAGTAATTGATGAGTAATTATACTATTAAAGCAAAATTTTATAAATATAGAAATATCTTATATGATTTCATATTTATTTTTTCTAGCCTACTGGTGCTACACAGATTATTAATAAATAAACAGCTGCAATCGTCATCAACAGTGGGCGGGCACAATCAAAACACGTAAGTACCGCGGGTGTACGTGCGTATTACCGCGTGTGTACTTTTTCAGTTTTTGCGTATGGTTTTTGTAAGTTTGTTATTTCCTTGACCTTGTCGTTTTATGCGTCGCTTAGACACTGGCCCTGCCTAGAACTAACATGAAGCTAGCGACAACCAGTTTGTAAGTTTGTTATTTCCTTGACCTTGTCGTTTTATGCGTCATTTTTTTAGACACTGCCTAGCCAGCGACAAGGACAATCACACTGAATCAGTTGACAGTTGTAACTATTAATTATAGTTATATTATTAAACTAGGTCTAGTCTCTGATTTTTTTGACCATGAATCAACGCTAACGTAACTAAAGTCAGTAAAGACAAAGTCGGCCCCTAAGTATTGACACTTATTTGAGATTGAATTTTGAAAGATTGAAGTATCTCCTGTGGAGTGTGGACCGTGGTGTCAACTGAGCACTCATACTCATAGTCATTCCCCGTTGTTAGACCATGATTATTTAGTAGTATAGTACAGTACATCAGTCATCACTACATGATTTACATCAGGGCCAGGGGCGTGTTTGTTTGGTCGGGTCCACGGATCTCGATCAACTGGATCCGTGGATCTGACTGTTTGTTTGGTCGGATCCACCGAACCCGACGCTGCTAGCGAGGTGGATTCGAAGGGGATCCAATATGGCGGCCCACGTCTCCGCCAATCACAGCTTGTTCTTTGTTATGAACCATCCCGTGATAGGTCACAGCGAAACGCGAACTGTTGAAAGTAAGTTTGCGTTTTTTTGGGGCGATCTGGATCAAGTGATCCTGATCAGACGGATTCGTTCCAAACAAACGTGCCCCAGGACAGGCCTGTGTCACGGTAAATAGTGTGATTGGATACTCTTCCTATTTACCGGCCAAGCTGCGGTAAATAGTGCGATCTGGGAAATCTCCCTATTTTCTAAACACTAAAGCTGTCTGAGAAACTGACAGTGACAAGGATGCAACCTATTTTGGAGCCACTCGTGAAATCCAAAAATACGCAAAGCAGGTGTTCCATTCCTTCTTTGCAGTGATTGCACTGGCATGAGTCCTCTGCTTTGAAGGCATGACATTCTATCTCACCAGCAACATGGCTTTCGATGAGGTTTCTTCATTTTTACTCAATTAATAAATGTCCTTCATGAATTGGAAAGGTCAATGCTGTGTTCTTGACTTTAGCAAGGCTTTCAACAAAGTCTCCCGTGACCTTCCGATTCTCAAACTCAGTCATATATATGGGATTGCACATTACCGGCTTCCTCAAGGATTTGTCTAAAATTGTCTGTCAATGGCAACATGACATGGTTTATTGGTTGCAGTTACATCAGGCATATCCCAGAGTTTTGTAGCATTAGTACAGGGTTTCTTCTGGGGGAAAATTAGACAACGGAGGTAATTGCCAGTTTGGGAAAAACCGTGCATAACGGATTCAAAGGCGTGTTTGTGGGTCTCGAGGACTTAGCAAAGCGAGCAACGCAGGAGCCCGCCCAGCTGGGGGGTTCGGGGGCATGTTCCCCTGCGAAATTTTGGAAAAAAGGGTGCAATTTGGTGCATTCTAACCTATTCTGAACACATTGTATGAGGCTCTTGAATCTCTTTTTCAAGTTGTCAAAAGGAACTAATAAATTATGAATATGAAATGATACAAGTATTCACATTAAATAGTAATACCGTCATGAAATTATTAGGCACGAATGTGGATTCTGCAGCCAGACGCGGGGGGAGAGAGGTAGAGGGGGGTTCTGGGGGTCTCCCCCAGCAAAATTTTAACAATTTGAATGTCTTAGACTGCATTTGAGGCACCTTGAAAATAAAATTTCACCTTTTAGTTTAAATCTTATTCTGTTAGCAGACCTACCAAGTCTCTCGCATTTCACGGGAGACTCACGGATATGGACTCATTCTCCCGCTCTCCCGCATGCCCTACGCATTCTCACGCATTCACGCAAAAGAAAAAACTATGTAACACTTCAGAATTAAAGTTTTTATATCTTAAAATTTAATATTGTCTTCTTTTCTTCGAATGCTAACGAAATATATGTACTGAATAAACGCACGCGCCGAATGCGCACTTAAACCAGCCCGCACACGGTGCACATTTGGCGGTGAGCTAAACGCGGCACCCCTGTTACCCACGTCTGTGGCAGTGAACATCGTGGCTGTGGTGGCATTGATTGAAGTACGGGGGTGGGGGGCGAATGCACTGATTGTTACGGTTTATTCCCATTTCGCCATTAAAAATTCCCACTTTGCCATTTGCCATTTCCCGTTTCGCCATTTCCCACTTCGCCATTTTGCCAGTTTCCCACTTCGCCAGTTTCCCATTTCGCCAGTTTTCCCGTTTTGCCAGTTTCCCATTCCGCCATTTCGTCCTATCTCCCCGACCACCCACTTGTTCAAGGTGGGTTAAAAGTAGGCCTCTGTAATGAATAAATTATAACGAACTTTTAAATATGGAGTCAACTATTTATTTGAAGAACAAGAAGGCGAAATCGTACATATCAAAACATATGGATCATGTACAGGCACCCTAACCCTAACCCTAACTCTAACGACCTAGAAATGACTCTTTTTTAAGAATGGAAGGATCAATTTCGTGCATGGGGTGGAAGCAACATAAAATATTGGCGAAATGGGAAACTGACGAAGTGGGAAAATGGCGAAATGGCAAAATGGGAAAATGGCGAAATGGTTGATGGCAAATGGCGAAGTGGGAAAATGGTGAAATGGGAAGACACCATTGTTACAGTTGCGTGGGTATGCTTGTTGCTGTATATGTAGGGGTGGGCACCGCTGGTATGAGGGAGCGACAGCAAAACTTTCCCAGAATCGAGGGAAAAGCTGCTATCGGGAATGCCAGACGAGTGTGCCGGCACGCAAAAAGAAACGTTGAGCACTGTGAATTTCATTACGATTTTCCATGTATTATAGTCAGAAGCACGTGGTGACCTATTTATTTTTGGGTTGACATCATTTTGACAACGGCGGGTAAATACAGGAACATTTTCACAGCGGCGTTGTTAAATTTGACAACGGCGGGAAAATACAGGAA